GCCAGGGCCAGAATTTGAAACAAGATCCGCTTGACAACCATGTGTATGCCATTTCCTGGACACTCCCCTGTCCAGCCCAGCTCTAACCTGGTACCCTGGCCAGAGTAATAGCTGAGGGTTAGAGTGGGCGTGGGGGAGGGACGGAGGCCCATGCAACTGGAAGTACAGCTACTGGAACTTGGGACTCACAGTGGGACTAGAGACCTGCCCACTATGGCTGGGGGAGTCTGTCTGCAGGCTTGCACCTCATTGTGTCCCCTTACAGCCTGTGAGCCAGCCCTCCCGCTTGCAAGTAGACTGTTCCACTGCATTTTCTGCTGCTAAGGGAGTGTATTTGTTATCTTTCCCTTTGCTGTACCAAGTACCCGGTAAGCAACAGAAGGCCAGGTGTGGTGGTGCAGGTCTTTCAATCCCAGCCCTAGGGAGGCAGAGGCAGGCGATCTCTGTGAGATAGAGGCCAGCCTGGTCTACACAGAAAGTTCCAAGCCAGTCAGGACTAAATAGTGAGACTCTGTCTCACAAACAAAACAAAACAAAGTCGGGAGTTGGGGGGAGAAGCAGCAACAGAGGAAGGAAGGATTTTTGATGTTGTTTTGGGACAGGATCTCATGCACTCCAGGCTGGCCCCAAACTCCATATATAAGCAGAGGACGACCTTAAACTCCTGATCCTCCCGCCTCTACCTTCCAAGCACTGGGATCACAGGCATTTAGCACCATACCTGGTTAATACCGTGCATTCTACAGCCGAGCCTCACCCCAGCCCTGAGGGGGGTTTACTTGGCTTGTGGTTTGAGTGTACAGTGCATGATGGTGGTGAAGGCACGGTGGGATGCGTGGCTCACAGCTGTGGCGGGGGGACTGTGAGACTCCTTGCTTATACCCCAGTGAACCAGGAAGCAGGGACCTGACAGGATGTGTAAACAGGCTCTAAGCCTGGAGGCCTGCACTCCAGGAATCTACTTCTTTCAGTTAGGCCTCACCTCTTAAAGATTATACAACCCCCCCAAAGCAGTGCCATCAATTGGGGACCCAGGGTTCAAGCACATGAGTCTGCAGGGGACATTTACATCCAAAACATAACAGAATGCCTGGGCTATTTTAGAGAATAGAAATGGTTTTTAATTTTTTTTAAAGATTTATTTATTTTTATGTGTGTTGTATATGTATGCCTGCATGTATGTGTCTGCACCATCACCATGTGCCTGCCAGGTGCCCAAGGAGGCCAGAGGAAGGCATCAAATCCCCAGAAAATAGAGTTATAGATGGTTGTGAGCCCCCATGTGGGTGCTGGGAACTGAACCCAGGCCCTCTGCAAGAGCAGCAAGTGTTCTTAACTGCTGAGCCATCTCTCCATCCCCAGAATTTTTTTTCTTTTTCCAAGAAACTTTTTACAGAAGTTCTCATGTCTCTGGAGGCTGGAAGTCCAGCTCTGATTCAGCAAGGGACCCCTTCACACAGCCCTGTCAACCATTCATGAGGTGGAGCCCTCATCACACTGTGCTCCAGGGCCCACCTCCAACACTGTGATACTGGGAATGGTGTTAATGATACATGAAATCTAGAAGCACAGATTCAAACCAGAGCTGTGACCTCCCACAGAGCCTTTGTGATGCTCGCAACCCTGGTTACAGATAAGACACACAGGGTCTGTGTAGCCCAGGCTGGCCTTGAATTCACTACATAGTCAAGGATGACTTTAACCTCTAGATCCTCCTGCTTCCACTTGTCAAGTACTGGGATTACAGATGTGCACCACCACGCTAGGTTTATTCAGACCTGGGATGGAACCAGGGTGCTGTGCATGCTAGGCGAGCACTCTACCAATTGAGCTACATCCCTAGTCATTTCCTGCTTTTTCCCAGTGCTCCTCAGACCTTCATGAATTCTGTTTGGGGTGTGAAATGACATGTTAAAGTCAGGGGCTCAGCTCATATTTCTTGTCAATGAACTCTGGGCTCTTGTTCTATGTTCTGTGATGTGATCACTGTGAACTGGCAGTTGGGGTCTCAGGCAGGTGATGCTGGGTGGGTGAGATGGGAAAGAGAAATGGGGAGGCAGGAGGGCATGACAAAACTCAGGGCCAGCCCCAAGCTCTGGGCAAACCAGCCTGTATGGAGGGACCCTGTTGGGTCTGTTGGACTGTGGAGGTGGGGGAGCATGGATGGGGGTCGAGAAAGGTAGAGGAGGCGTCATGTTTATGGAGCCTTCTGGGGGCTATGGAGAGACAATCTGACTTTGTTCTTGGCACATCTAGTGTCCAGCCAGGATGAGACCCAGGAGGTTAGGCCACAGATGATCTCAGATAATACTGTTGGATGCAAGTGTGGTGGGGCACGCCTGCAGTTCCAGAACTCAGAAGGCCGAGGCAGGAGGAATGCAAGTTCAAAGCGAGTCTGGGCTACAGAGTGAGCTCCAGACCAGCATAGGCAACTTGGAGAAATGTCTCAAAATAAATAAAGATGGGATGTAATTGAGTGGTAGAGAGCTTGCCTGGCTTGTGGGAATCCTTAGGTTCAACACTTAACACTGCAAAAACAGAGGCAGAGGCGATCGGACCCTCCTTGGGTGCATTCCTGTTATGAGGGCACATTTTCTCTCTGTCCTTGACTAAGGGACCTACAGCTGTCACCAGCCACCTGCCACCTGTCACCCATCCAGACATGTTCCAGGAACAGAGTGGCTGTGTGGTTCCAGAAGAAAAGGCAGCCTCTTCTCTGTTCCCTCTTCTCCCTCCGCTGAGAATCTGTCCAGGATGCTAGGGTGGTGTCTGCTCCATAGCCCCAGGTCAGGGACTGCTGAATTAGTGACCAGCGTGTGAGACTTATCTAGGCCCAGAGAAGCCATCACCTCACCAGCCTCAGTGATGGGCAGAGATTTTTGCAATCCTCCTACCAACCACTCAAGGACCCACAGGGACTAACACCATCACTTTCTGACAGATGAGGACACCAGGGCTCAGGTGGGGACACCAGCACTAGTTGCTGAGGCCGCTGCCACCACACAGGATGAGGCTCTAGGCATGGCTGGTGACATTCCCATCTGCCTCCTGGTTCTCTTGCATCCCTGCCAGGTGCTTTGGCACCCACTAGCCCTTCTGGGCCTCCATTCTTCTAAAGACTCTCACATCTATCTGTCTGTGACCTTTCAGAGGTGGCCCCCTGAGGCCAAGTACTTCCTGGGGATGTGGTCTCTGTAGGCAGGCAGAAGCTCATCTGCTGCCCAGACCTGGAACAGGCTTCGATGCAGATGATGATCCGGGAGGGTGGGGGCGAGGAGAGAGGAACACGCCCTCACCCGTTCTGCTCTGCAACCTGCCAGGCACTTCCAGCACCCGTGGGAATGTGCAGAAGGAATTTTAAAGATGCCGGAACCAGCCAGGATTCAAGGTTGGATGGGGGAGGGGGTATGGTGGTCTTGATGTATCTGGCTTTCTGGAGTCTTCTGAGTAGGCCGAAGACATGGTGCGCCCTGGTGCAGCTAGGGACATGGAGGCTCCTCAGGGAAGAAGGGGCCTTGAGAGGGAAGGTGGGGGCTTGAGCCCTCAGCAGACCACCACCACATGGGATGCGGTGATCCAGCAGGAGATTCAGAAGGCAGTGGGGTTGTAGCCTTGCCAGTCCCAGGGAGTCAGGACAGGAAGTTCCTTCGTTCCCTTGAAGGATCCTGGGTTAAACTGTGTTTCCCTCCTCCCAAAAAAATACATTGAACTCTTAACTCCCAGTGCCTATGGACACAATCCTGTTTGGAAAGAAAGTCTTTGCAGACATGATTAACATGTATCTTTAGTGACCTGGGCTAATGGCTCAGTTAGCAGAGTGCTTGTCTAAAGCATGGGCAAAGCCCTGGTTCCATCCCCAGCACAGAATAAATTGGGTGTAATGGTGCTCGCCTGTAATCCCAGCACTTGGAAGGTGGAGGCGGGGGGTGGGGGTGGGGGGTGTCAGGAGTCCAAGGTCATTTTCTGTTATAGGTTGAGTTGGAGGTCAGCATGGGCTACACGAAACCCAGTCTCAAAAAAAAAAAAAAAAAAAAAAAAAGGTTTAGATAAAGCAACCCTGGGGGGGGGGGCTAGGAACAGTGATTTTTTATAAAAGGGAACTGGGGGGAAAGAGAAAAACACAGGCCAAAAGGGAGGCCCAGGGGGGGGGGAAGAGAGAG